ACCTCGTTTCCACGTCATCTGTTGACCCCCATGTGGTTTTTCCAACCTGCAACCGCAACTGCGAATAGGGCACTGTGCGAAGCCGACTAATCTGAATTCCATGGGACAACGAATTCTCCATTGAGTCATTACCAAATACACGGTGCCTTAGGTCAGAATTGCTCATATGCTCGCCCCATCCCCCCGTGCCAAACTATGTAAACATCGGCAGTCGAAGACTTCTAGAAGACGAATATCTTCCACGCGCAAATATAGTGTCTCGCCAACATACAGCAGAACTGATCGCACGCTGGCGCAGTATACACAACCTTTCAGTTTCAACGAAACATCGCGTTTGTACCGAAGGTGTTTCAGTCCCGCGTAAGCCGCTCAAGCCCTGCAAATGCGGGTGGTTACTTGATTGACTATTCTACCGTCATTTGTTACGCAGCTACCTAAGTGAAAAAAACATTCCACAATAGCTAATACTTTCCCATCAAACATCAGCGCTCGGGTAGACAACACCCAGCGTTGCAGCATTGCTTCGCACTTTCAAGTGGCAGAACTTGAAAGTTTTTCAAGGGTGTACGAACCACACAACTTCCTGGTTATGGCAGTGGCCACCGGCTCTATTGGGTATCAAGGTGTATTGGACACCTTGAACGTTTGACCCCGTCCAAAGGGTGTATGATCCGATAAAATGAACACTGGCCCCCAATGGACTGCGGTTTACGCACACCGCTTCGCTGCCTTGCGGGTCAGGCTTTGGCTATCCGAAGGCTCTGGTTGTGGATTCCTCGAGAGAATTCACGTGCCTTGTCCCGGGCAACCTGACAGTATTCCACCCACATGCAAATCATGGAATGTTTTTTTGTATAAAGAATATTGTACCATCATTTACTTGGCACTTGGTTCACTATCAGACGTGTGTGATAAAAATAATACTTAGCTCCATCCCAACCCCAGCTACACCGCGAACGTCGGATGCTGAATCGCCCGACCCTCGAAGAGTAAAGAGTGAGAATGAAGTCAGATCTGAATAGTGGTGACGCGAATAGGTCTTGTATGCGTGTTCTGGAAACACGGCATACGTCTTAATTGAAATTTTCGAGGGTTCTAGCTAAGACAGCTTATTGACCGATCCCATTCACTGTGCAGACGTAAAAGGATATTTTGGTTTCAACAATCCGTTCGTTTCTTCTTGGTGGACCTTGTTAAATAAACGGTGTCCACGAGTGGTGCAAACAGGAGGCATCTTCTAAGATGTGGAAGTGACGGAAAGAGTCGGATAGATGAGAAATAGGGTTTTCCAAATGGATGCACAACTTTGCGGGAGCGCACACCAACGAAGGGGTTTTGCTTCGGAAACACTAACTGGATCATTGGGCTCCCAAGTCTGTTCCTAGATGCAGTGGGGTGTAGATCCAAAGCGAAAGCTTAACCGAAGCGCCCGTGTGGTAGATAGAGGTATCCAGGTATGGTATGTGCTTTTCACCATTAAAGTGCAGTGCTGGTTCAAGACATTCAGAAGCCTGCGCCTGTGCTCACTATCTGTGGTAATCAGCCGGAAATGGTCGAGAGCTTTAAGTACCTCGGGAGCTTAATCACAGCTGGAGGTAGGGTTGGGGAAGAGATCATAGCACGAACAGCGAAAACTAAAGCAGCTTTCGCCAACGTGCGACACCTGTGGCGCCGCCATGACATCCGACTGTCCCTTAAGAGAAGGGTGAACATCGCCGAGGTCCGTGTTCTGCTTCGCGGCTGCGTGACCTGGCCTCTCCGAGCGGAGCATGCCAATGGACTTTTTGTATTCGACCACCGATGCATTTGAAGCATTGCTCGTGTCTGGTGGGAACATTGGGTGAGCAACGACGAAATTCGTCGTCGTATGCTGGGTACTGACAGTCATTCTCTAACGGAAGTAATCGTTCTACATCGCCTCTGATGGTTCGGTCGTGTTTTGCGCATGCCTGCCCATCGTCTACCTTTTCGTGCTCTCTTTGCTGGACAAGGTTGGAAGAAGCGTCACGGCGGTCAGACCATGACCTGGTATAGAGGTA